TCCGACGCTCTGTGTGGACCCTTGCTTAAACTATTCACCCTATCCATTAACTCTTCATGCTTCCCCCCCATCTGGAAGGAATCTTTTATTATTCCGCTCCATAAGAAAGGTAGCAAGTCTGATGCAAATAATTATAGGGGTATATCTAAGTTATCCGCTATTCCTAAAATGTTTGAAAAAATTTTAACTCCGCACTTGCAACATCTCTGCAAATCACTTATATCTCCGTCCCAGCACGGATTTATAAGGCGACGATCAACAACCACAAATTTATTAGAGTTTACCTCTTTTATCATTAAAGGCTTTCAAGGTAACTTGCAGAATGATGTCATTTACACTGATTTTAGTAAAGCATTTGATTCTGTAAACCATTCCCTTTTAGCACAAAAACTTGACCTTTTAGGGTTTCCGCCTAATCTTTTGAGATGGATTTCTAGCTACCTTTGTTCTAGGTCTCAAAGAGTCCTCTTCAAAAACTCCTTCTCTTCACCTGTTAAGGTTACTTCTGGAGTACCACAGGGCAGCCATCTAGGCCCCCTACTATTCACACTCTTTATTAATGATCTGCCTTCAGTATTAACAAACTCTCGAGTACTCATGTATGCGGATGATGTTAAACTTTGTGTCCAGTATAAGGACATTTCATTTCACCCTCGCTTGCAATCCGATCTCAATAACTTTCAATCATGGTGTTGTGCAAATATGTTACACCTAAATGCCTCGAAATGCAAAGTAATGACATTTCATCGCTCCAGCTCCAGCCCCCTATTGGCTCCTTATAGCCTCTGCGGTGGTTCTCTTGAGAGAATTACCTTGGTTGATGATCTTGGTGTTAAATTAGACCCAAAGTTGAAGTTTTCTGAACACATTTCTACCATGGTAAATAAGGCCATGGGTGTGCTTGGGTTTATAAAGAGGTGGTCAAAGGAATTTGACGACCCCTATATAACGAAGACTCTCTATATCTCGCTTGTTCGTCCGATTTTAGAATACGGCTCTTGTGTATGGTGCCCCCAGTACAAAGTACACCAGGACCGTATAGAATCAGTCCAGAAAAACTTTTTACTTTTTGCTCTGCGTGGCCTTAACTGGGATGCAGGTGTGAGACTGCCATCTTATCCTCGTAGATTGCTTTTAATAAACCTTCCAACCTTAGTTAGTCGTGATTTTTATGCACAACCTGATCAAGGGTGATGTAGATAGCCCTGACTTGTTGAGCCGCATAAACTTTACGATTCCTATTAGATCTACTAGAAACTTCATTCCTCTTTACCTTCCGCTTTGTAGATCGAATTATTCCTTGCACGAACCATTTAGGGTACTTTGCTCGGACTTCAATTCCCTCTACCACATAATATCAACTACTAATTCCCTTCCTCTTCTTAAATCACTAATACTAACTTACCTTTCCCGTAATTAGTTATATTTTTTAGCTATCTTTGCATGCTTAGCTCTTTAAGTTGTGTTTAGCTCTAATTTTCCTCGAATTTTAGTCTAACACCTATCTTTCCTGCATGCTCGCGATCGGTTCGGTAACACGCGTCGCGCGTCATGCGGCAGCGCCCCTCGGTCGGTTGGGCGGGAGGAGGGCTGCGTTTCTGCCTGGGTTCCGCGCGTAACAGGCTTCGGCTTGGTGTCGCATGGGCCACTTGATGGTGCAGTCATTGCATATCAACGTCCAGACAAGATAAGCGTCTCGCCAACTCAATTTGAAACCATTTGTTCCGCCAAGTTTTGGCCGGAGCATTTGGTGGTTAAAGAGTTTAAGGCTAAGAAAAAGAATAGGCCCCCCATTACTTTTCCTAGCATTCAGACCAGTGCTTTATCTCCATCCTCATCTTCCACCTCTACTTCCACCCATCCAAAAAACTAACTTCCTCTCTTGTAGTTACCTACCAGAATGCTAGAGGCTTGCGTAGTAAGCATAGCACTCTTTTCCTTGAGAGTCTCGCATTCTCGTCCCACGTTATTGTGTTCACCGAGACCTGGTTAAAGCCGGACATCCTTAGTTCCGAAGTTTTGGCAGGTCGGTACACAATTTTTAGAAATGACCGTTCGTCTCGACGTGGAGGTGGCGTCCTTATTGCAGTGGACTCAAACTTCACGTCGGAACATTTTATGGTCCAGGTTCAACAAGACCTGGAATTCCTGTGCGTAAAACTGATTCTCCCAGGCTTTTCCATTTTCATTACTTGCTCGTATATTCCACCTTCCTCGGATATTTTAATATACGAGCATCACCTGTACGCTTTAAAAACTGTTTCTTCCTCGCTATCAGATAAAGACCATATGATAGTTCTTGGTGATTTTAATTTGCCAGGTGCTGTTTGGTCTTCGGTAAACGAGTCTAATAACCTTGTGCCCATGTCACGACATGACTTTATCGACGGCTTGCTAGACCTATCCCTGTCTCAAGTCAACCATGTGAAAAATTCCTTGGGTCGATTGCTTGATCTGTGCTTTGTCTCGGATCCGACCATAGCGTTGTTAACCCGAGCCCTTCCGCTCAGTATACCTGAAGACTCCTACCATCCTACATTCGAAGTGTCAGTCGATATTGGCCCTACTGTATTGGATCGAATGAGTAGGCTATCTGAACGTGTCCGCTGCTTTCGTAAAGCCGAGTTTACGAAGCTTAATAACCTTATTAGGGATTTTGATTGGTCCGCTCTGTACTTGTGCACTGACGTTATGAAAGGCACACACATTTTTTACAATGTACTTGACACATTTTTTGATTCCTGTGTCCCACTTTCTTGTCCGGTTAGATCTGGAAAGCCTCCTTAGTTTACCAAGGAGTTATCCAGTCTAAAAAATTTAAAATCAAGACTTTATAAAAAATTTCGAGAAGTTGGTTCTCCCTCTTCTCTTTCTCACTATGTAATAGCTCGGTCAAATTTCTCCGTTCTTAACGCTCAATGCTATAAGAACTACCTATCTCGATGCAGGATACGATTTTCACAGGACCCTAAACAGTTTTACAGCTTCGTAAATAGTAAGCGTAGAACGTCCGTACATCCGTCCTCGTTATCTTTTCTCAATATGTCAGCAAACAATGATCAGGCAATTGCCGATCTTTTTGCCAAATTTTTCCAAACAACCTATTCTCATGAAAGCTACTCTGGTCAGCCGTATCCATACAGTTTAACAAGGTCGAATGGCATCTTCAGCCCCTTGTTAAATGAAAGCTCACTGTTTCATGATCTTCGACTAGTTAAGCCGGTGTTTTCACCAGGTCCCGACGGAGTTCCCGGCTGTGTACTCAGGTACTGTGCCGACGCTCTGTGTGGACCCTTGCTTAAACTATTCACCCTATCCATTAACTCTTCATGCTTCCCCACCATCTGGAAGGAATCTTTTATTATTCCGCTCCATAAGAAAGGTAGCAAGTCTGATGCAAATAATTATAGAGGTATATCTAAGTTATCCGCTATTCCTAAAATGTTTGAAAAAATTTTAACTCCGCACTTGCAACATCTCTGCAAATCACTTATATCTCCGTCCCAGCACGGATTTATAAGGCGACGATCAACAACCACAAATTTATTAGAGTTTACCTCTTTTATCATTAAAGGCTTTCAAGGTAACTTGCAGACGGATGTCATTTACACTGATTTTAACTATATCTGGACGTTGATATGCAATGACTGCACCATCAAGTGGCCCATGCGACACCAAGCCGAAGCCTGTTACGCGCGGAACCCAGGCAGAAACGCAGCCCTCCTCCCGCCCAACCGACCGAGGGGCGCTGCCGCATGACGCGCGACGCGTGTTACCGAACCGATCGCGAGCATGCTGGAAAGATAGGTGTTGCTAAAATTCGAGGAAAATTAGAGCTAAACACAACTCAAAGAGCTAAGCATGCAAAGATAGCTAAAAAATATAACTAATTACGGGAAAGGTATGTTAGTATTAGTGATTTAAGAAGAGGAAGGGATTAGTAGTTGATATTATGTGGTAAAGGGAATTGAAGTCCGAGCAAAGTACCCTAAATGGTTCGTGCAAGGAATAATTCGATCTACAAGCGGAAGGAAAAGAGGAATGAAGTTTCTAGTAGATCTAATAGGAATCGTAAAGTTTATGCGCCTCAACAAGTCAGGGCTATCTACATCACCCTTGATCAGGTTGTGCATAAAAATCACACCAAGCATTTTTCTACGACTAACTAAGGTTGGAAGGTTTATTAAAAGCAATCTACGAGGATAAGATGGCAGTCTCACACCTGCATCCCAGTTAAGGCCACGCAGAGCAAAAAGTATAAAGTTTTTCTGGACTGATTCTATACGGTCCTGGTGTACTTTGTACTGGGGCACCACACAAGAGCCGTATTCTAAAATCGGACGAACAAGCGAGATATAGAGAGTCTTCGTTATATAGGGGTCGTCAAATTCCTTTGACCACCTCTTTATAAACCCAAGCACACCCATGGCCTTATTTACCATGGTAGAAATGTGTTCAGAAAACTTCAACTTTGGGTCTAATTTAACACCAAGATCATCAACCAAGGTAATTCTCTCAAGAGAACCACCGCAGAGGCTATAAGGAGCCAATAGGGGGCTGGAGCGATGAAATGTCATTACTTTGCATTTCGAGGCATTTAGGTGTAACATATTTGCACACACCATGATTGAAAGTTATTGAGATCGGATTGCAAGCGAGAGTGAAATGAAATGTCCTTATACTGGACACAAAGTTTAACATCATCCGCATACATGAGTACTCGAGAGTTTGTTAATACTGAAGGCAGATCATTAATAAAGAGTGTGAATAGTAGGGGGCCTAGATGGCTGCCCGTGGTACTCCAGAAGTAACCTTAACAGGTGAAGAGAAGGAGTTTTTCAAGAGGACTCTTTGAGACCTAGAACAAAGGTAGCTAGAAATCCATCTCAAAAGATTAGGCGGAAACCCTAAAAGGTCAAGTTTTTGTGCTAAAAGGGAATGGTTTACAGAATCAAATGCTTTACTTAAATCAGTGTAAATGACATCCGTCTGCAAGTTACCTTGAAAGCCTTTAATGATAAAAGAGGTAAACTCTAATAAATTTATGGTTGTTGATCGTCGCCTTATAAATCCGTGCTGGGACGGAGATATAAGTGATTTGCAGAGATGTTGCAAGTGCGGAGTTAAAATTTTTTCAAACATTTTAGGAATAGCGGATAACTTAGATATACCCCTATAATTATTTGCATCAGACTTGCTACCTTTCTTATGGAGCGGAATAATAAAAGATTCCTTCCAGATGGGGGGAAGCATGAAGAGTTAATAGATAGGGTGGATAGTTTAAGCAAGGGTCCACACAGAGCGTCGGAACAGTACCTGAGTACACAGCCGGGAACTCCGTCGGGACCTGGTGAAACACCGGCTTAACTAGTCGAAGTCATGGCAGTGGCTTTCATTTAACAAGGGGCTGAGAGATTCGACCTTGGTAAACTGTATGGTACGGCTGACCAGGTAGCTTTCATGGATGGTTGTTTGGTTGGCAAAGATCGGCAATTGCCTGACATTGTTTGCTGACTATTGGGATAACGAGGATGGATGTACGGACGTCTACGCTTACTATTTACGAAGCTGTAAAACTGTTTGGGTCCTGTGAAATCGTATCCTGATCGGTAGGTGTTTTATAGCATTGAGCGTTAAGAACGGAGAAATTGACGGCTATTACATAGTGAGAAAGAGAAGGGGGACCAACTTCCGAAATTTTTTATAAAGTCTTGATTTAAATTTTTTAGCTGGTAACCCTTGGTAACGAAGGAGGCTTTCCAGATCTAACAGGACAAGAAAGTGGGACACAAGAATCAAAAATGTGTCAGTACATTGTAAAAATGTGTGTGCCTTTCATAACGTCAGTGCACAAGTACAGAGCGGACCAATCAAAATCCCTAATAAGGTTTTAAGCTTCGTAACTCGTCTACGAAAGCAGCGGACACGTTCGGATAGCCTACCATTCGATCCAATACAGTAGGGCCAATATCGACTGACACTTCGAATGTAGGATGGTAGGAGTCTTCAGGTATACTGAGCGGAAGGGCTCGGGTTAACAACGCTATGGTCGGATCCGAGACAAAGCACAGATCAAGCAATCGACCCAAGGATTTTTCACATGGTTGACTTGAGACAGGGATAGGTCTAGCAAGCCGTCGATAAAGTCATGTCGTGACATGGGCACAAGGTTATTAGACTCGTTTACCGAAGACCAAACAGCACCTGGCAAATTAAAATCACCTAGAACTACATATGGTCTTTATCTGATAGCGAGGAAGAAACAGTTTTTAAAGCGGTCAGGTGATGCTTATATTAAGATATCCGAGGAAGGTGGAATATACGAGCAAGTAATGAAATGGAAGCCTGGGAGAATCAGTTTTACGCACAGGAATTCCAGGTCTTGTTGAACCTGGACCATGAAATGTTCCGACGTGAAATTTGAGTCCACTCAATAGGACGCCACCTCCCCGTCGAGACGAACGGTCATTTCTAAAATTGTGTACCGACCTGCAAAACTCGGAACTAAGGATGCCGGCTTTAACCAGGTCTCGGTGAACACAATAACGTGGGATGAGAATGGCCTGGAGGTGTGAGCTTACTACGAAGCCTTAGCATTCTGGTAGGTAACTACAAGGGGAAGTTAGTTTTTTGGATGGGTGGAAGTGAGGTGGAAGATGAGGATAGGATGGAGCACTGGTCTGAATGCTGGAGGTAATGGGGGGCCTATTCTTTTTCTTAGCCTTAAACTCTTTAACCACCAAATGCTCTGGCCAAAACTTGGCGGAACAAATGGTTTCAAATTGAGTTTGGGAGACGCTTATCTTGAAGGAAGATATCTCCTGGCGTAAGAAAAGTTAAATTTTTCCACCTTTAAGCCGACGGCTTTTATTTTGCTTTGTATAAAAGCGGTCACATCATTGGATGTGAGGTCAGGGGCTAGCCGCGGACAAAACTGTCGCTTTGGTGGGACTCCCACCAGTGGTTTTGGCACCACAGGCCTAGTACCTGTGATGGCAGTATCCGGTGGTCCTGGACATCTATTAGCTGGTGGGAGCAAAACTGAGGGGATAGTTAAGGGGTTGGGTGCGGACTCGATGGACACGGACTCTACAGACATTTCTAACTGCATACTCTCCGAAGTGACGCATTCGGCTCCCGAATCTGCATCACCAGCAGCGATCGTTGCCCTTGGAGTAGCAAACGTAATCAACTGCTGCACTAAGGGAGTGGTCGGAGTAAGTTTTTCGGATGCCGGCGGACATGAGGCAGTCGGCACTTGCAAGTCCCGCGGAGTAGACCTCTTGCGCCTCGGAGACTCAGCCAGCAGCTGTAAACTGCTGAACTGAGTGTTCATGGCCAAGAGCCGATCATATTGCCGTTTAAAGCCTACGATCAGCTCTTTGAATCCACTCCGCGTCTGCCTCATGAACGAACGCATGTCGTTTTCCACAGCACGGCATTCCTCACAACTATAATGTAGGCCGTTGTTTTGTGAAATGGCGTCTCCTACACGGCCCGAGATCCCTACACATTTTGCATGCACTACGCTTTCGCAAAGCCAGCAGGGGATATTGGGCTGGTCATGGGTGATCTGCTTCTTGCAGGTTTTTTTGCACAGACGACAGAAAATTCCATATTTATGCTTTTATTTTTTTTTCTTCGGGAAAAAAAAGTTCAAAACAAATAGCAATCAGACCACTGTGCAGGCAAATGCTTAGAGCAATGCTTAAAGCGAAATCGGAAAAAAAGGGAGTGGTTGCAGCAACAGCTTATAAGTGAGAGCGTTACTGCACAAAAGGTTACAAGAGCGAGAGCGAAAGAACAGTTATTGAGAGTTAGGTGATAGAGAGAGTGATAGAAGGCAATAACTACGACAAGAGCGGCTAAATGTAATGAGAGGGCGTACTTACGAAAAGCAACAACACAAACACACGACTAACCGACGCACAAAATTTATTAAATAAGTTGTGTTTTTACACAATTAACAGGCATGCACCCGCGGTAAAGAATGATTTTAATGTATGTTAGTAAGAGAGTTAAATTATAGATAAAAAACACCGGCTGTTTAAGTTAAACAAAAGGAAAATGCGGAGCGCAAAACAAAAACACGTCTGGTCACTACGAAAGAGAACGAACGAACGAAGCATTTGATTCTGTAAACCATTCCCTTTTAGCACAAAAACTTGACCTTTTAGGGTTTCCGCCTAATCTTTTGAGATGGATTTCTAGCTACCTTTGTTCTAGGTCTCAAAGAGTCCTCTTCAAAAACTCCTTCTCTTCACCTGTTAAGGTTACTTCTGGAGTACCACAGGGCAGCCATCTAGGCCCCCTACTATTCACACTCTTTATTAATGATCTGCCTTCAGTATTAACAAACTCTCGAGTACTCATGTATGCGGATGATGTTAAACTTTGTGTCCAGTATAAGGACATTTCATTTCACCCTCGCTTGCAATCCGATCTCAATAACTTTCAATCATGGTGTTGTGCAAATATGTTACACCTAAATGCCTCGAAATGCAAAGTAATGACATTTCATCGCTCCAGCTCCAGCCCCCTATTGGCTCCTTATAGCCTCTGCGGTGGTTCTCTTGAGAGAATTACCTTGGTTGATGATCTTGGTGTTAAATTAGACCCAAAGTTGAAGTTTTCTGAACACATTTCTACCATGGTAAATAAGGCCATGGGTGTGCTTGGGTTTATAAAGAGGTGGTCAAAGGAATTTGACGACCCCTATATAACGAAGACTCTCTATATCTCGCTTGTTCGTCCGATTTTAGAATACGGCTCTTGTGTATGGCTCCCCAGTACAAAGTACACCAGGACCGTATAGAATCAGTCCAGAAAAACTTTTTACTTTTTGCTCTGCGTGGCCTTAACTGGGATGCAGGTGTGAGACTGCCATCTTATCCTCGTAGATTGCTTTTAATAAACCTTCCAACCTTAGTTAGTCGTGATTTTTATGCACAACCTGATCAAGGGTGATGTAGATAGCCCTGACTTGTTGAGCCGCATAAACTTTACGATTCCTATTAGATCTACTAGAAACTTCATTCCTCTTTTCCTTCCGCTTTGTAGATCGAATTATTCCTTGCACGAACCATTTAGGGTACTTTGCTCGGACTTCAATTCCCTCTACCACATAATATCAACTACTAATTCCCTTCCTCTTCTTAAATCACTAATACTAACATACCTTTCCCGTAATTAGTTATATTTTTTAGCTATCTTTGCATGCTTAGCTCTTTGAATTGTGTTTAGCTCTAATTTTCCTCGAATTTTAGTCTAACACCTATCTTTCCTGCATGCTCGCGATCGGTTCGGTAACACGCGTCGCGCGTCATGCGGCAGCGCCCCTCGGTCGGTTGGGCGGGAGGAGGGCTGCGTTTCTGCCTGGGTTCCGCGCGTAACAGGCTTCGGCTTGGTGTCGCATGGGCCACTTGATGGTGCAGACATTGCATATCAACGTCCAGACAAAACTCCCTAGGCACCAGACAATATCTCGTGCCGAGTGTGGGCATCACAATGGGCAGATTTGCCTCCGAGTGACCTCGACTTCGGTCGAGCAGCCCTATAAACCTAACCTAACCTTTGTTTCAAAAAAAATTTGTTTGGTTTGGAAATGGAAATATTTTAGTTAAATATCATTTTGGCAATTGCATTACATGATACCAAAACAAAAAACAAGAACCATACGACATTTTTACCCCAAGCCGATTTTGATATCGATATTTTATCGGTCAAATGGGAATTCGCACTTTGTTGTAGTTTATGTTTATTTTGGTGAGGTTAAATTAGGGACCTTTAGAAATAATTTTATTAAATATATTGGGATATACGAAAAAAAAGTTTTAATTATATAAATATAAACTTAAAACAAAGTTAAAGCAGAGTTGTTCATAATTTTTTCCCGTTCATGCAGGTTTTTATTTACGTGCTATGTGCAATTTGATTTGAAATCGCCAGTTCATTAGCAACCGGTTTCTGTGTGTACACAGCACCAAAAAATATTTATTTTTCGAAACCG